TTATAATGTACCAAGCATAACATGTCAAAATTATAATATTTTTATTTTTCAGAAGCATAAATTATTTAGAAAATATGACATAATATTTATTTTATTTATGGAACCATTTTCCAAATCGAAGTTGTACTATACCTTCCAAATCGATATCTCCTTCTTTTTCATACCATTCATTCTTGCTATCATTCCACACATCTTCAGCTTCACTTTCTTTTTCATCATCTTCATCTGTAGTCTCACCCTCCTTACTTTCATCCACACTCTCCTCTTTATCGAACTCATCCTCCACTTCTGCTATCTCACCCTCCACTTCTGCTATCTCACCCTCCACTTCTGTTATCTCACCCTCCACTTCTGCTGCCTCATCCTCCTCACCACCAATTACATTCTTTCCAATAGCTTCCCCACTCTCCTTATCTGCTGTCTCACCCTTCTCTTCATTAATAGTCTTCTTTTTTTGTTTTTCAGCTTTCAAAAAAGATGCAAGCACTTTGGGTTGCTCTCTGAACTGTTTTAAATGAATTTCCTTTTGCTTTTTCAATTCTTCATCCCTCTTTCACTTATCAGCTACTGTCATAGTTTTTGTTGCCAGATTCTGTGACCAGACAGCTTGGTAGCCAGTCGAAGGAACAACAGTGGTTCCATGTTTATCTCGCTCAGAAAAGCACTACAAAGTGTTTGCATCCAATTCAATCAAAATATCATACTCTAAAAGAAAAAAATTTCCTCCTATAAATTCTTCTTCCATATATTCATCTTCTTCATTTCGAATTCCTCTTGCACACACACAGACCCAGGCATATTTCAAAAAGTTTTTGTCTGTGTGAGCATGTTTCGAATAATTGAGAGCAGCATATGCTTCACACAAATCCAGTTGGTAGAGCAAATGTATTGCTGTTCCTCTATAAGTCATATCGAAACCAACTGCTCCTTTTGCTTCATATTTGCCACCATCCAGTCTGGGCAGGTCATGTTCTTCGAGCAGTTTAGCTACATCCTCTACTAGCTCTTTGAGAAATAAATGCATTACATAATTATATAGCAAACTTACACTAGCCATTATATGGGCTTCTCTATCTTCGAATTCTTGGGTATTTAGCAAGGTTTTTGCTACATTTCGAACATGTGTAAAAACTCCACAATGCCAGGTGCACAGATACCCTGCAGCCACCATGTTTCCTTGTTTTAGCTTTTCAACCTCTCCCCTTTTTACTTTAAAGCGTTCTTGGAACATTAAGAGAACTGACTCGAACATGAAGTTCAGAGCCTCCTTGCCGATGCGATTACGATAAACTGCACATATGAGATAGCCTGTATTTGCATCACGCACTTCAGCCTCTTCATGCTTTCGAACTACATTAGGCAGCAGATTCTCAGCTCTGGCTTGCTCGACATCAGAAGTAAGAGCATTACCATTCTCATATATCCATAATTTTTTTTTCGAAGCAGCATTTTTAAGGTAGCCAGAAAGAGGGCTTAAAAGCCGAATAGGAGCCTTTTCAGGCTTTAGAAATGCTTTTTCTGTGAGCAGATTTCTTCTGGCCTGTAGGCAAATAAATATTACTGCCTGTTATTTTAAAAAATTAAATCATTCTGCTATAGTTAAGGTAATGCTACAGTTACTTTAAATGAAGGGTTTCTTCACTATTAGTAAAAGAGTCATATGAGTTGGGAGAGAGGAATAGACT